ACTGGAGGATTAGGGAAGGGGACGAGAAAGAGGAGTTGCTTTCACGAAAGCTTACACCACGTTAATCGGAATTACCGACAGTGCGGCGTGCGATGTTTGCGGCACCGACGAAAAAAATATCGAACACCTGCTGTGCCATTGTCCTCGATTTGCCTCAGATAGACAAGTACTTGCCAACGCAATGCAGAGCAGACAAAAGTTCCTATGGCATTCGGGGAACCTTTACTTTCCCAATTACGCGATGAAATTCGGCGAAGTCGTGTCAATGTCACGATATGGCGCCGTGCCCAAATTTGCGCTCGCATCAGCGGGTGCTCGTTCTCGGGGCCTATATATCTCGCCGAATCTCGCGAGGACGAAGCTATTCATCTCGCCTATGACTTCACCCGCAGCAAGATAAATTTCGAAGAGCTTGATATATGGATGTTCGCCAGCGGTATAATATAGCCGGCAGAAAACTCTGACACCGCTACCGATCCGATCTCCTTTTTGCTCCTTATCTATAGCTTTTATCTTTGCAGCACTTCCTCTGAATTTTCGAGCGAATCTGTAGTCGGATAGAAATGTCATTATTGTTCTGTACGGCTCGAAAATAATCGACGGGGTGGGGGGGGGGGGCTATGCGTTCTCGCCGTCTCTCTATTTTCTGCGATGCTGTTCTTTCTTTTATTTTTATAAATATAGACTGTCAGAGGGAGAATGATTTACAGTGGCGCGCGCTCTAAGGTCCGAACTGTATAGCTATGATGGCATACCTATTAGCAACGTGTAATTGTGTTCAAACTTGAAGGCGCCGTCTCCGTTACGAAAATTGCAATAATTTTTTGATACACTTACGAGCCCCCTCCTCCCTCACAATATATATATATATATATATATATATATATATATATATATATATATATATATATATATATATATATATATATAGCATCGAACGCGTTATTCGAAGGTCGTAGGTTCGATTCCTGCTCACGGCTGGTTATTTTTTTCACCCACTTTTCTTTCTTCTTATTTACATTCCATTGGTTCTAATAACTTCCCCTGTACATTCCTTGGCATTATTGTCTGTTAGATCTCATTAATATTGTGTCAAAACACGGAAAAACGAGCCCTTAGGTATACACTTCTTTCCCTTATGTATATGAGAGAGAATGTAAGGAAGAAAGAAACAGGCCATAATACAGATAGACAAAGCCACGAGGTATCTCTCGTACCCTTTGCGCTCTATATTTGAACTGTCCGCTGGGAGCAACGTGCCTTGGCGCTAATCTAGCGAGAATGTCGCAAAGCAATCAAGCCGTCCTCGTTACAAAGAGAGGTAGCTCCATTAATCATCCGTTGGCTTCTCCGGCTTAATAATCGCTTCGTTTCTCATTCCGCGGGAAGGAAACGCCCCCTCGTGTGTATTATACCAAAGTCGTCGTCGGAGCGGGAAACAGCAGCGGGCCAAAATAAAAGCGGAGGTCTTGCGCTTGAAAATTTCAAAGCGGGTCAGCCTCGCGGGCGTCGTTGCCCGCGGCGACGGCTCATCGATCCGCGTCGCCACTGCAGCGTCGTGCTGCCTGACGCCGACCTGTGGAGTTCGCTGGGATACAACTGCACACGGGCGGCGGCGTACGACGAATTCACTTTGGATTCGGTAATCCCTCGCGGCACGGCTCAGATCATGCCTCTCGCCGCGGCGCAAGATTCCCATCTTGTCCCGCGAAAACGATGCCGCCAGATTCTCGATTCCCAGATCCCCCTTTAAAAAAAGAAAAGAAAAATCGCGCGCGAAGCGTAGGCTTCCGATACCACTGGAGTAGTCATGGACTAAAGGGTGCGGGGGGGGGGGGGGCTAACTTTTTTACCACCTGGAATTTTTCAAATTAGCATGGGCAATACACATATGCAGACATAAAAAGCACGCGCACGACCATTTACGTTTCTCTAGCCCGTTTCTACGATTGTATAAAATTAACGTGTCCAGCTGTCACTTTATTCAAGCATGTAGTTTCCTTCTTCTTAACTTGTGCTTGTTCAGCAACGCTGCCCCGACCAAATTGTATTGTTACTTTTGATGTGGCCGTTTTTTTTGTGCTTTTCTTTTTGCTTTCACTCCCGTGAGAACCCTACAAAGGGTTAACACTATGTGTTGAAAATAAAAATAAATAAATACAAAAGACAATTGACCATTCCCCTCCCACCCCACCAGAAAAAAAATGTCTGGCTACGCCCCCGCCTGATTCACGCCTCTATTGACGAAACGCGTCTATATATGTGGTGGTTCCGGTGAATTGACTAGGGTTTTCCATCCGGGTTCCTGATGCGCAGTTCTAACAGCGGAGCTGTTCACGCCAGCTGCGACAACTTAGGTGTTCGCAAAAACCGACAGGTGGGTGCGCCGTAAATCTTAGGTGAGCCTCACTATTGAGTACAACAGGTGCGAGCGTTAAACAGAAACTCTCCTCAGAGAAGTGGAGCCCATGAAAAACGTGAGAGACAGAAAAAGAATAATATATGAAATAAAGACAGAGAAAAAGAGATAAATAGAGAAAGAAATAGACATGAAAAAGAGCTAGAAGAAACAGAGCTATATCGAAATAGTAATAAGTAAATAAAAAGAAACAAAGAAAGAACAAGAAAGACATGGGAAGAAAGATATAGAGAAATAGAGAGACAGTTAGAGAAAGAAGTATAGAGAAATAAAGATGGAAGGAAAGATTGAAAGAAAGACAAAGTGCAAGGTAGGTGTTCTGTGGTGCAAGCTCGTCACCGTCCTCTATGATCACGTGATGATTACCACTGTTTACAAACATGGAGATATGTATGACATTGCATTGCTGAGTAACTCAGGGGACGAATTGCAACTCATGATTACGGAGTTAGACAAGGAGAGCAGAAAGGTGGGTCTTAAAACTAATTTGCAGAAAACAAAAGTAATGTACAACAACCTCGGAAAGGAGCAGCGCTTCGAGATAGGTAATAGTGCACTTGAAGTTGTAAAAGACTATGTCTACTTAGGGCAGGTAATAACCGCAGAGCTTAACCACGAGATTGAAGTAACTAGAAGAATAAGAATGGGGTGGAGCACATTCGGCAAGCACTCTCAAATTATGACAGGTAGATTGCCACTATCCCTCAAGAGGAATATTCCTCAAGAGGAATTTTTTTTCTGTTATATATAAATGATATCGTCGCTGACCTTTCTGTTCACATTAGGTTGTACGCCGACGACTGTGTCTTATATGAAAAGATCACCTCAGTTGACGATCAAATTAAACTAAATCAGAACTTTCTAAAAGTAATTTCATGGTGTGACAAATGGCAGATGCCTGTTAATTTCGCTAAAACAGTTTTTATGAGAATTACCCTTAAAAAAGAACCTCTTTTGTTCCAGTACTCTACCAACAATACAATTCTGTCAGAAGTAACTCAATACAAGTACCTTGGTCTCTGGATTACAAAAAATCTATCCTGGTCAAAGCACATAGATTTTGTAGTAGCTAAATCTCTCCGTAAACTTTTTTTTTCTAAAACGTTCTTTAAGATCAACCACACCAAGTATTCGTCTCCTCGCTTACAATGCCATTATCCGCCCTATACTGGAGTATGCTGTGGTCATATGGGACCCGTTCACTCAGACTGACATTCAAAAACTTGAAAGGGTGCAAAAAAAAGGTTGTTAGGTTCATTTATAACTCGTACGGTCCTACTTCAATTACAAAACTTCTCTTGGAAAGCAAATTTCCAAACATTTCGGACCAAAATCGAATATTGCGCTTAAAATTTCTTTTCCAGTTAATAAAAGGTCACTATGCAGTTGACACATCACATATCATTCACTTTTCATTGGGTTACGAAACAAGACGGAGACACAATCTTACTATCTCTCCATTGATGCAACGAACAAATTGTTTCAAATATTCTTTTTTTCCGAGGACTATCGTGGATTGGAATAGTCTACATAACGATGTTGTTACCCTAAATACATTGTCTGCATTTGAAGAGTCACTGCAGAAATGATTGTTATCTATGTTTGTACCTTGCTTTTTGTTGATTCTCTTGTCTCGAAGAATCACGGCAGCTATCAGTTACATAAGTTTGTATTACATTTGTTTTTGATTGTTTGTTTGCCTGTTTCCACTGATGTTTATGTTTATGTTTTGTACCACCCCTGCTATGATCTTGTAAAGGATCGCAGTATCAATAAATAAAAAAAAGGAAGGTATATAACAGCTGTATCTTGCCGGTACTTAGCTACGGAGCAGAAACCTGAAGACTTACAAAGAGGGTTCAGCTTAAATTGAGGACGACGCAGCGAGCAATGGAAAGAAAAATGGTAGGTGTAAGCTTAAGAGACAAGAAGAGAGCAGAGTGGATTAGGGGACAAACGGGGGTTAAGGATATCATAGTTGAAATAAAGAAGAGGAAATGGACATGGGCCGGGCATTTAGCGCGTAGACAGGATAACCGCTGGTCGTTAAGGGTAACTAACTGGATTCCCAGAGAAGGGAAGCGGGTTAGAAGGAGACAGAAGGTTAGGTGGGCAGACGAGATTAAGAAGTTTGCGGGTGTAAATTGGCAGCAGCAAGCACAGGACCGGGTTAACTGGCGGAACATGGGAGAGGCCTTTGTCCTGCAGTGGACGTAGTCAGGTTGATGATGATGATGACAAACATGGAACAAGTGACTGACGGGGGAGGGGGGGAGCTTCAATCTTTACCCTGAAAATTTCCAATATTCTAATTTCGTTTGCGTATAGTATATGCGCTTAACATACAAACGTGCGCAAGAACGTACACAAAGTATGGTTTACTCCTTCCCCCCTTCCCGAAAAAAAATCTGGCTACGCCCCATGGTCTGTCGTTACACGAGAATTCGCGAACTCCGTTGGACTCCCTTGTCATTACGCCAAGCGACATTACCAAGTTGACCCGACTGCTATAAGGCTGAGTATACTTTCCACATATCTTGCGGCATGTCGGGTGCACGCACATATTTTTTTTTCGAAAAAGAGAAAAAAAATGCTTCGAACCGTTCGTTCTTCTCGATTGCAGGCCTGGACGTGGAGCTGTACTACGTTAAGGAAGGGCGCCGCAACGAATACGCTCTGGGCTTTGTAGTTCCCGTGCCGGCCAACGTGTCCGAGCTGGAATTCGTCTGGCAAGCGCTCGGGTCACTGCCGCTTGCCTACGCACTGGACGTGCAGGTACGTTGTTGTACGCTTCTTCCTATGTGATTCTTAAAGAGAAAACAATAGAAAAGTGAACCCCGTAACTGTCTGCATCGGAGTGCGACACCTCAGCAGTAGCTCACGATGGATGGGGGTAAGGAGGGATTAAAAAGATAGGATTAAAAGGTAAATAGATAGATGAAGGAGAGAGTGAGGCGCAAGGACAGCGAACGACAGAAAGTAAAGAGGAGATATGAAAGATGGACACGGTCGCATGAGTCCGAGGACGGGGCACCACTCAGCGAGAGCTCTTGTCGGCGTCAGGAGATGGCGTAGCCAGTCCGCCAGAGCTGCGATGTCGTCGGAGATCGCGGGGGCACAACCGGTCGGCAAGGAATCCACAGAGCGAGTTGTTGCACGCCCCCATCAGCGCGTACTTATGGTGTCAGGTGTATTGTGCCTGTGTCACGCGCACACGGCCCACGATGCAAGTCGTGGCGCTTCAATGAAGATAGAAGAAAAGCTTCTCGATCAGCATTCTAAGAATGTTGGCCGATCTTGCATTCATCAAAATAAAGCATTGGGTCACGTTTTTTCTCCTAATCGAAGAAACCTTTCTCCTAATCGAAGAAACCTTGTGTTGGTTAATGTTTGTGTGTCTTTTTCTTTTATGTCGTCCTTGTTTCCTATAAACTACCCGGGCTTAATTACTTTCACCCAAAATAATTTCTATAGCGGACAAGATGCGCATCATCTTGTCCGCTATAGAAATTCACTCTGCTCATGTCGGCATATGGACGCACCTTGAATTTTGCTGTAAGTTTCAGGAACGTGTGCTGGGTATGGGTTGGCAGCGTGTTCACTTCAACTGCTTCCTACAGATTGTACAACGCCAAAATAATCAAAGAAAAAAAAAACCACTGGACAAAGCTCTAGTTCTATGCCCTTTTCTTCGACCCATGTTGGCGCTTCTCAATATTCTGCTGTTTTGCATACCGAATGAAATTCCTGAGGGGTGCAGATGACAGCGCACTCAAAGGGAGAACGTGGAAAACACGTACAATAAGTGGCGCAGGCTTATAACTATAGTTCATGAAATCAACCATGCATGGACGCGAGTAAAAGGTTAAATGTCCCAGGGTCAGAAAAAGCCGAAAATAAAATGTTTCGGTGCAAGGTTAGGTTAAGGAATCGAAGTCGCATTGCCAAGCATTTCCAGGTCATATCGCCCGCGTAACGCCGTAGCCACAAATTTTGTCGTTAGTGGAGGGGACGGGAGGGCCGATCTGCCTTCATGTGTATTCGTGTGAGCACTTGTATGTAAATGCATACAAAAGTATCGGCGGCATCCCCTATATCACCCAACTGCAAAGATACGCCATCAATGACAAAAATGCTAAGGTTATAGTCTATTGACACGTCCAGTGCCGATTAACGCTGAATCTCAAATACGATTTTACGTAAGACATACGGGTACCGCCATGTTGGGCTATTAAAAACTATAGTGCTTCCAGATTTTATCTATCTCGTGATGTGAATAGAAACGGTCGCGAAACGTCCAATGTATAGCAACCCTACTGTTTTCATGTGTCTACGTCCACCGTAGAGCATACTTTAGTCGTTTAAGGTACGAAATATCAAGATAACACATAACTACAACGCATCCGTAAAATAGTCCAGAAAAATTGAATGTAGTCCACGGTATTTTCGCTACTGACTGGCCAAAAATCCTGTCGCTTAGGATGTCACGCCAGCGAGCATGTCGGGGTGAGAGCATTGCCCCGAACGTACCGCAGGTGAACGAAGGCCGTGGCCACCGTGCCTTAGGCGTGCCGTCGCTGGACGTCCCGTCACGGGGCACGCTACCGCCGGCGCCACGCAGCTTTCGCGTGCGGCTCCCCTGCACGGGCCTCGCCAGTGCCGAGGTCCCCGTGCGCATTGTGCTCAACGTGTCCGTGGTTTCGCCGCCGGACGCCCAGCTCTTCCACCCCGACGGCCGGTTGTTAGAGGCGGCCGGCTACGACCTGCCGCCGGCCTACTATGGCGGCCGACCGGCGAACACTTCCGTGTCGCTGCCGCGGAACAAGATTTGCGCCAGAGGTACGTTATCGCCGCGCACGTGGCAATCGGTGCGTCAGCCCTGTCTGTGCGCGTCCTGCGAACGGCTCCTACCGCTTTCGGCAACGGCCCCACTGTCGTGGTTCGCAAAGTCACATAAAAGGTGTAAAAGGTGGCACGCAGCCGTGCAGCTTCTGAACCAAACTGCAAACAGATAGATAAATAGCTTTTCCTCTCACCGGCTACATCTTGCCATGAAAAGAAATTCATACACCGTCTCTGTTTGAGAAGTCAGTATTTCCCAACTTCGCTGTAGTATCCTATCGGGTTACCAAGGACTGGCGGAGCAAGTCTCGGCAGCCGTGCTACATGCAACTCCCCTTATCATGTGTAATGGAAGCACACGGGTGGCTTCTCTCTTAGTCTTCTGGCGATCGTAGCACCTTTGGTGAAACAATAAATTTACTTTAGAGTTACAAATTATACTCTGAAAACTGTAGTAGTTGTTGTTCGATTAACTTTATTGTAGTCCAGAGAACGCGCAGGGGAAACCCTGCGCCGCCCGGGTACGTTAGACCGCCAAGAGGAGTTTGATGGTCGAAACCCTGGCCGCCCAGAGTGCCGGTTAACACTATAGTGCTGGTAATTTCACCATAATATGTTTTTTTTTTTAAATAGACGAGCCAATCAAGGTCGAAAGTTACCGGTTTATATTTCTCGCCGAAATTTCCAACATCGCGGATGTCGAAGTGTTTTCGTCGTATTTTGAAGATATTCACACGAAGAAATTTCCTGAAACTTGGTCTCTGGGACCGTCAGAATACAAAGTACTCCATTTTTACCTATTAGGATATATCTGGGCCCTATAGCAAACGCCATCATGATCTATGACGTCATGGCGACTGATGCGGGAATTTCAATGCGGCGTCGCAAACCGCACTTTCTTTGCGTGCGTTTTTTTGCAGCAAGCTTGGTGTTTTTGGTATCCTGAAAGAGTTGATTTATTGATTGATAAGTGGGGTTTAACGTCCCAAAACCACCATACGATTATGGGAGACGCCGTATTGGAGGGCTCCGGAAATTTCGACCACCTGGGGTTCTTTAACGTGCACCCATATCTGAGCAGACGGGCCTCCAACATTTCCGCCTCTATGGGAAATGCAGCCGTTGCAGCCGGGATTCGATCCCGAGTACCTTAGCCGAGTACCTTAGCCACTAGACCGAGTACCTTAGCCACTAGACCAGGAGCCGAGTACCGGGAGCCGAGTACCTTAGCCACTAGATCACCGGCGGGGCCATCCTGAAAGAGTAACTACTAATACGACAAATATTGTTTTTCGCTTGCCCCTTTAGAATACATTCACCTTGTGTGATTGATGCGTGATGTTCAGGACTGGTGGTTTGATGGACGCTCCCTCTTCGTAGACGTGCAGCCCCCGGACGAGGTTCCCGGCTTCGTGCCCTCGCCAGTGGCCTCGTCAACCTCCTCGTCCTCCCGGTCACTGGTCGTGGTGGCCGGATGCTCGTGCGCCGTGCTGGCTGCCCTCGCCCTCGCAGCCGCCGTCGCCTGGCTTGTGCGCGCGCGCAAAGCCCCACCAAGGTGATTCCGAATAAACAGACGTTTCGTTCATTTTCCCGTATCCTTTCCCCTTTATTACTGATGCGAAAGTCGTAGATATGCTTCACTAAACGCGAAAATCCCTCGTTGGAATCGGCGGCGTGAACACGAGTCATGCAAAAAAAACCATAACAACGTGATGACGTTGTCGTGACGGTATGGTGATTTCACGACATGTGACGACGTTATCACATGAATCGTCGCTTGGTCAAAAGTGGGTGATCACGGAGGCAGTGCTAACTTGCAATGACTCAGACCTTGGAGGCAGCGTGAGACCTTGTTAAGTCTTTCGAGGTGAGCTAGGATCAATCACATCGACTGTGATGACGGCGGCGTTGACCCAGTGGAATCAATAGAACATTATTTTTTCTCTTGCCGCCGTTACAGATTGTTAAGAAAACGACTCCTTGTCATCCCATTCACTAAGCTATAGGGCTGACCTCCACCATTGACAACATATTTACCTTTGGTGTTTCGGCTCTGGGCTTCAGCCACAGCAACGCCTTTAATGACGTGTGCAGTTATCTTCATGAAACAAAACAAATGTGCCTCCAAATTCCTATTTGTATATGTATTATGATAGCATTGATGAGCAAATTCAAAACATAAATTTTAGACATGTTCAATACTGCTGTAATTTACATTCAACATGTAGACTATACTGTCTGGTCGAAATAGCAAAAAGGTATTATTGCACTCTTTTTGTTTTTAAGTACATTCAATCCTCCTTTTATTAGTATTATTTATTACTTGAAAGGTGTAAAAATTCATATAACCAATTCTTGGCCCATCCCTCTGAGTGGGTGTGAGCCATAGTTGAGGCATTATCATCACCACCACCTTCTTGTGGTCTTAGGTAATTGCATAAGGGCACCCTGAGAGCATTGATTTCATAAACGAATACATCATCCAGTGTTCAAAGTGCTAAGTTTCTGCGCCTCAACTTGCATAACCCATTTCAGTCTGGTTACAGTGGTTGGAAACAGCAGCGGTGCTTTCGCTTCCTTGCAGGGATGCCCCAGTTGAGGAGCCCGCGTGGCAGACTTGGTCTCCTCCGGATGGACGGCCACTCTCGTGCGGATCTCCTTGGATGCTGGGAGCGCACCGGGATGACTTGGGCCCACGCAGAGACATCTCGCCTCTTGCCGTACGGCCGCACTCGGGTTCCGGTAAGAAAAGATCCTTTGAAAGAAACAAGCACTCAAGATCCCACTTTGAAAGCTGTCAAGAATTAACAGCGCGTGCGCAATACGCACACATTGTTGGGTCGGGATTGAACTGGCCACGACACCGACAATGAAGAACGAAGCGCCGCAGCACGCCGGCGCAGCCACCCATGACTTAGGCAGAGCAGACAAGTGAAAGACACGTCTGTCTAAACAACTGCTCGTCACCAACTGATTTATTTACAACTATGTACACATTTGCCTCATATGTACCATAGCGGTGCATGTCACAATACATCACTGTCTTGCGAGGTGCCACCTTGTAACTAAAACTGAAATCGAAACTGAACCGAACAGCATAACACAACAATACACACGAACACTACAGTATACGTATTCATAAATATAAGACTTGCTTCAGGCCCAGTGATGCGATTTATTTCCACTTACACTTTTGTAATGATCGATATGCAAACATATTCTTACAAGGAAACGTATATTTGCCGATATTTACGATGATTACGCGCGACAGCAATGCCTGTTGTTGTTGTTGTTGTTGTTGCCCCTTCGCACTGGCACATACCCACTATGGGGGATTGGCCATGAAATCTAGAAGTATCCTATATGAGATATATTAAAAGGTTTATCCTTAATGAAAAAAACTAATGATGTAATAGAAAATAATAATTAACTAAAAAGGAATATTAAACTAAACAAATAATTGAAGATTGAATCAAGAAGAGAAAAGGTGAGGTAATACTACAGTGGAAGGCAGAAATTTTGAGTAGACCAGACAATCGAGCTTATCTCACCCGGTCACAATCAAATGAATATGCAAATTTCATTCAAAATTAGACAAGTGTCGTCAGAAATATATTTAAGCAGGCATTATTATGACATGCGCTTTGATTCTCGAATGAAATTGCATACAGCATCGAATACGCTCCTGTGGCAATGTCCCAAGCTAAAGGCACCGAAACTTAGAACATTATCTGCAGTTAAATTTAAACCTACTGCTTGAAACGGAACAATTAAAAGTCTTTTCCTAATTAATGAATAGTTTTTACATGTTATAAAGTAATGCTCTATTGTTTCCGTTTCTTCACAGAATGGACACAGGGGGGATATCGCCAGACCAGCTCTGTGCAAGTAAAAGTTTAATGGAGGGACACGACATCGAAATTTGGTTAAAATAACTTCTAACTTTTTAGATTGACTCCACTGAGGTTTCCAGGGGTATGTTAGGTGCTGATAGTCCGTATATTTAGTAATATTTTCCATAATATCCGTATAAATAGCCCATTTTCTATATCTGATCGACACTATGTGTTCCGATTCTGGTAGTACCGAGATCACAGGGCCATCAAGTGTGGCTCGAGATAGTGAATCGGCTATTTCATTCAACCGTATGCCACAGTGTCCCGGGACCCAGACTAACTTCAGGAACTTCACATGAGGTGGAACTAATGTTTGTAATGTCGCTAGAGCTCTTGATTGTTCTGAAGCTGTGAGAGTAGTACACAGCGAAAGAGAATCAGTAATTATCATTGCACTCTCTTCGTTTGAAGGAAGTTTTCGTAGCGCTAAAATAATAGCCAGGAGCTCAGCTTCGAAAACCGGAGTGAAGTCTGGTAGTCTTACCGAGAATGACCAACCGAGGTAATCTGAGACGATTCCTACTGCTGCCTTTTCTTTATTCACAGAAGCGTCTGTGGCTATTATGTTCTTTATTTCCGCATGAGCTATGTAGTCTTCTAACCTGTCATTTAAGTAACTCGAAGATTGAAACTTAGATAGTGGGGGAAAAATTTCATCACATTCTATCGTAATATTGTGATTTAATGCTTTGGTTCCAATTACCGATCTGATATCCACCTTTATGCTTTCAAGTTTCTTTTGTACAAAAATAATCTGGGGAGTACGAAAGCATGGCCAGTGAGCGAGGAAGAAGGCGTCGGGGTCACTAATAAAGGCATATGCAGACCGTCTCGCTGATAAGCCGTAAAATTTCAAGTATGTTTGTACTGTTAAGATACGGAATCGGCAAAGAATAGTTGGTATGCGAGCTTCCTGATATAGTACATTAATAGCGACATACCTGGGGAGTCGCAAACACAACCGTAACGCTTCTCGCTCTAATAGAACTAACGGTTTAATTTTGTACGTAGGGCCACCCGAAAATAATATACACCCAAAATCGAGTATTGGGCGCATGTACATTTTATATATCATTAATAAGGTGTGTCTACGTAACCCATATTTTCTGTTGCTCAACTTTCGCAATAAGCCTGAAGCTCGTTGTGCCTTTGCCACGATATAGTCTATGTGAGGGCTCCAGTTAAGTTTCTCGTTATAAATAATGCCCAAATATTTGATAGACTCTACTTGTGGAATCGGTTCCTGATTATAAAGTACTGAAATTTGAATAGAATCTGCTATAGGGAACACCAGGAGCGCACTTTTACTGATGTTTAGAGACAATGAAATTGAATGCAGCCAAATTTCAAGAGAATACATGTACTTTTGCAATTTTTGATGCAAAGAATAAATGTCACTGTCTGCAACGAAAAATGCAATGTCGTCTGCATAAATGTAGACAGTGATATCTCGTTCAATGGGAATTGAGCTCATCAACACATTGAATAACAGCGGAGATAGGACCGCCCCTTGAGGTACTCCACGTTGCTGTTTGAATTTAGATGAGTGACATCCATCCTTTGCACAATAAAATTCTCTCGATTTTAGAAACTCTGCTACCCAATCAACAATATATCGCGGAAAGTCACATTCGTGTAAAGAATTCAATAAAATTGAGTGCTCAACGCTATCATAAGCTTTAGCTATGTCTAGTGTTACTAGTACCGCGTATTGTCGTCTTTTTCGGGCAAGCTGTATTCGGCTCTCTAAGTCGGCATGAGCACACCAAATTGAGCATTCGCTACGAAAACCTATTTGAAATGGTTTCAATATTAGCTTGTCAGCCATCCAAACTTTTATTCTATTATTGAGAACTCTCTCTATAATTTTGATCAGGTGAGATGTTAGAGAGATTGGTCTGATGTTGTCAATGTTAAAACCTGACCCTTGTTTTTTTAATATGGGAATCACTCTAGCTATTTTCCAGTCATGTGGTATCCAGGCATTGCTTAAGGAATAGTTTATAGGTTGAGGACGTCGCCGGGTGATATCTGGAATAAAATTTTAATCATAGGAACTGTTATACCGTCAGGACCAGGAGCCGAAGAGGGTAAGTTTCTAATTACGCTTGACATTTCGGACAATGTCACTTTTTCGTAGTCAGTCTTTATAGAGGACTTTTGCCAGTTGATTGTCAAAGTCGACGAAAATCTGTTAGCTAAACCTCTTCCGATTGCCTCTAACGAATTAGTCATTTCTTCCGTCGATAACCTGTCATAATCAGAGTTAGCTAGAGACGGCAGAATTTTGCGCGATCTCATATATCGGAATAACGCTTTCTTATTTCTAGGTTTGGAAAGAAAGTCGAAATGTTTTTTGTCATAGTCTTCTTTAGCTTTAGCCACGGTGCGCTTAAATGTAGCAGCAATAAACTTGTAATCTGCCCAATTTTTGGGGGACTGATTATGAATTAGCTGCTTCCTGGCACATTGGCGGTCTGGGACCAGTCTCTATCCACTTCGTAGTCTTTTTCTCTCAAGCAGCGACCCTCTACCGCTTTATGCTCCAATCCCACTACTGCCTTGTGACACTACCCCGCGGCGTTAAAGCGCCGACCCGGCGCTTGTCACGAAAGGGGAGTGTTAGGTGACACATAAGACTTCAGTCTTACGACTTGCACAACAGTGGATGGTGGTGGCATTGAGTGCGCTTCGTCGACGACTCGCTGTATCTCGTAGGTGAGGTTGGTGATCTTCTTGCGCAGGACTTTGTATGGTCCGTCAAAGCGAAATAAAAGTTTTTCTGAGAGGCTGATGTGACGACATGGGGTCCACAAGAGTACGAGAGAACCTGGTGCATAGGAAACTTTGCGGTGGTGACGATCGTATCGATCTTTCTGAGAGGCTTGAGAAAGTATGAGTCGTTCTCGGGCAATCTGTCGTGCTGCGTCGGCTCGCTCTATGACATCGCGGACGTATGTGACAGGGGAGCTTGAACCAGCGGGAAGGAGTGTATCAAGAGGCAGAGAGGGTTCCCGTTCATAAAGAAGGTAGAACGGGGAATAGCCTGTGGTGTCATGTCTGGAGGAGTTGTAAGCGAAGGTGACGTAGGGTAACGTTGCGTCCCAGTCACGGTGGTCTGGAGAAACATACATTGACAACATATCCGTGATAGTGCGATTCAGGCGCTCTGTAAGTCCGTTAGTTTGTGGATGGTATGCCGTTGTGAACTTGTGGTTCGTGGAACAGGAACGTACGATATCCTGGACGACGCGAGATAAAAAGTATCGGCCTTGGTCAGTAACGAGCTGTCGAGGAGCGCCGTGATGCAATATGATGTCATGTAGCAGAAAGTCGGCGACATCGGTAGCGCAGCTGATTGGAAGAGCGCGGGTGATCGCATAACGTGTCGCGTAGTCGGTCGCCACGGCAACCCATTTGTTCCCGGATGTAGAAGTTGGAAATGGCCCGAGAAAGTCGAGCCCTACGCGGTAGAATGGTTCAGCAGGGATCTCAATAGGGTTAAGAAGGCGAGCTGGAAGCGATGTTGGTCGTTTTCGACGTTGACAAAGGTCGCAGCTGGCGACATACTTTTGCACAGAGCGATATAGGCGTGGCCAGAAAAAACGGCGCCGGACGCGATCATAAGTGCGGGTGACTCCCAGGTGACCAGCGGCAGGTTCATCGTGAAGCTGTCGGAGAACATCTACACGCAAATGGGAAGGCACGACGAGAAGGCGGTCAGGACCTATAGGGCGCGTGTTGTGGCGGTAGAGAACACCTTCATGAAGGAAATACAAGTTCAGAGAAGTGGATGCAGTAGCAGAACTCAGACTTTCTATGATGGGAAGTAAATCCGGGTCGCGG